CACTGTAGTATTAATTATGTGATGGTAGTCTATTATTTAAAAGATAAGTGTTGTGTCTCTTTGGTACTAATTTACTTAATTTTTTTTCTTTAAGGACTTTGACTCCTGGTTTGACACAAACAACTGCTTGGGTGATCAGAAGTTGGTCGAGCGTCTTCACACTGTATGTATTGAATGTTCCTAATATCAGGTTCAGGCCAATCTCAAATTTTAAAGTGATTAACCCTTTTGGGGTTAAAGCACTCTTTTAACCTGCCATTTTCTTGTGTAGGTGCTGCGTCCTTTCTTGCTTCGTCGTATAAAAGCCGATGTAGAGAAGACTCTGCTCCCAAAAAAAGAGATCAAGATGTATGTGGGCCTGAGCAAGATGCAGCGAGAGTGGTAAGCATCTGCACTTAGGCTTAATTTGCACATATTTACTTGCCAGCAACAGATGTCAACATAAAATGTAACCCATGCCATCCCCCGTCAGGTATACAAAGATTTTGATGAAGGACATTGACATCCTAAACTCAGCGGGTAAGATGGACAAGATGCGTCTTCTGAATGTTCTCATGCAGCTGAGGAAATGCTGCAACCATCCATACCTGTTCGATGGGGCTGAGCCGGGTCCCCCTTACACAACGGACCTTCACCTGGTGGTGAACAGTGGCAAGATGGCGGTGCTGGACAAGCTGCTTCCCAAGATGAAGGCGCAGGGTATGTGGGTCTTCACACTTCACATCCTCCAAAGTGACCATACAGATGAATGAACTCCTCTCTAAAACAGCTTGAACGCAGAACTGAACCCTGTCACCTTCATGAAGGAGGATTTATTGCAGGGATGTTTTATTAGTTTTAGCTAGGTGGGCCTAATCAACTGTCATCTAAGGGTACACATAGTGGATTCTATAAAACGTGCTTTGTAAAAGGTTTGAGATTGTTGGATAAAAAGACATTACAGTGCATTCTTTGCATCAGTTGAGACTTCAGACATATCCACCAGGAATAAAGCTTTTAATTGACTACCCCTATATGTTCTTTCCAGGTTCCCGTGTGCTCATCTTCAGTCAGATGACCAGGATGCTGGACATCTTGGAGGACTACTGCATGTGGAGGAACTACGGTTACTGTCGCCTGGATGGCCAGACACCACACGAGGAGAGACAGGTGAAATGCCTACTTCATAAACTGGATGAGATTTATGAGAGTAGCCTGTAGATTGAGATTAACTGATTACACACTGTTGTCTCCAGAAAACAGTTCACTGAGCCTAATAAGACACTTGTTTATTTGTGTGTTTTCAGATCTCTATCAACGCATACAATGAGCCCAACAGCAGTAAATTCATCTTTATGCTCAGCACCCGAGCTGGTGGGCTGGGAATCAACCTGGCTACAGCTGATGTTGTCATCCTTTACGACTCTGACTGGAACCCTCAGGTTGACCTGCAGGCCATGGTTAGTACTCTGTAGTACTCTGCAGCGGTGGTCTCCCCAGTCCTTCTCCAGTAGTACAGGGATGGGCACTTTAACACTAGTTGTTTCCAAGGCAGGGAACTTGACTAGTTTAATCTTTCTGTTTCAGGACCGAGCTCACAGGATCGGTCAGCAGAAGCAGGTACGCGTCTTTCGTTTCATCACTGAAAACACAGTAGAGGAGAGGATTGTGGAGAGGGCTGAGGTCAAACTGCGCCTGGACTCCATTGTCATTCAGCAAGGTAATTCTCGGTATCTGTTGAGTGTTAGTTTAAAGTCAGTCTCGCTATGAAAGCATGATGTGTGCTGTTGTGATTAACTTTGTAGAAACAGCTGTTTCTATCATCGTTTATTAATAAAATAAAACTGATATAAAAATTCTAAATGAGGATCAAGGATTAGCAGCCACAGTTAATGTAGTAGTAGTAGTTGTTGTAGTAGTAGAGAGTAGAAATTAGTGAATGCTGTAATTTGCACAATATAATAAATAAAATTTGAGGTTTTAAAAAAATCCACCAAGTCATCAGTTTTTTGTTTTTTACCTTTTTGCTTAACAGGAAGACTTGTAGATCCGAGTGCAAGCAAGCTGGGCAAGGATGAGATGCTGTCCATCATCCGCCACGGTGCCACACACGTGTTTGCTTCCAAAGAGAGTGAGATCACAGACGACGACATTGATGCAATTCTGGAGAGAGGTGAAAGAAAGGTGAGTGAGAATGAGTGTGGATGCACTGGAAAAAATCTGCTGATGATGACATTAACAGTTAAATGTTATACTTATGTGCTAGACTCTAGAGATGAAGGAGAAGCTGTCTTCCCTGGGTGAGAGCTCTCTGAGAAACTTCACCATGGACACAGAGAACAGCAGTGTGTACACATTTGAAGGAGAGGACTACAGAGAGAAGAAAAAGGTAAAGAAAACAATAGCATCAGTCTTCAGTTTGTAATTGCCTCAGTCCAACAACATCAACCTTGTTCCCTTTTTTTGTCTCCATACAGGTCATTACCAACTGGATTGAGCCACCCAAGAGGGAAAGGAAAGCCAATTACGCTGTGGATGCCTACTTCAGAGAAGCTCTGCGAGTCAGTGAGCCCAAAGCACCCAAGGTAGGGCTGGAAACACCCTCAAGATATAAAACATTAGTGCAGCAGAATGTGTAATTACAGTGCTCTCATGATGGATGCATGTTATCCTGTTGGTGGTATAACAAGTGTCTGTTTGACGCTATTTTCCAGGCTCCTCGTCCCCCCAAGCAGCCAAATGTCCAGGACTTCCAATTTTTCCCTCCACGTCTTTTTGAGCTTCTAGAAAAGGAAATTCTGTTCTACAGGAAGACCATAGGCTATAAGGTACAGAGGTGGCTTGTCAAATGGGAGTGACATTTCTGGAAATGTCTTTAGAAAAGTCTCTAAGTTTGTGGCTCTGTCTTTTTAGGTGCCCCGTAATCCAGACATGCCAAACTCGGCTCAGGTGCAGAAAGAGGAGCAAGCTAAGATCGATGAGGCTGAGGCTCTCACAGAGGAGGAACTGGAGGAGAAGGAGAACCTGCTGCAGCAGGTGCTGACTACTTTTGCTCACTACGGTCAATCTATGGCTAATACACTGCAAATCCAAATACAGACTTTTCTTTTTGCGGTGTATATTTTAAACAACTACCTCTATTGCAGGGATTTACTATTTGGAACAAACGTGACTTCAACCAGTTTATCAAAGCCAATGAAAAGTGGGGAAGAGATGATATTGAGAACATTGCCAGAGAGGTGGAGGGGAAAACTCCTGAAGAAGTCATGGAATATTCTGGTAATCACTCACTTTTTCCCAGAAAGCAAACCCAAACATTTCACTTGTTAACATGTTTAGTAAATTGAAGTTTATTTCTCCAGCTGTGTTCTGGGAGCGCTGCAATGAGCTGCAGGATATCGAGAAGATCATGGCACAGATAGAGAGAGGAGAGGCCAGGATCCAGAGAAGGATTAGCATCAAGAAAGCACTTGACTCAAAGGTACCTGGCTGTAAACCATTTGGCTGTTCATTAGCATTATCTCATTAAGACCTGGGTAAATCCTCTTATTCTTCCTCTGATCCCTTAATTGTTTCTTCATCACCTTATCTTTTGTTGCTGATTAATTTGTGGTCTCTCATTATTTTTCTCATCTCCTTGGCAGATTGGTCGGTACAAGGCTCCCTTTCATCAGCTTCGTATCTCTTACGGCACCAACAAAGGCAAGAACTACACCGAGGAAGAGGACCGCTTTCTTATCTGTATGCTCCATAAGTTGGGCTTCGACAAGGAGAGCGTGTACGACGAATTGCGTCAGTGCATTCGCAACTCACCTCAGTTCCGCTTCGACTGGTTCCTCAAATCCAGGACAGCCATGGTGAGCTCTGGCTTCTTTTCAACTGTTTCTCCTGTTTTGTTTTGTGTGTGTGTGTGTGTGTGTGTGTGTGTGTGTGATTTTATCTGTTTGTATTAAATGTGGCTTTGTTATTAAAAAGATGTTTCTCATTTATTGTTGTACAGGAGCTCCAGAGGCGATGTAATACCTTGATAACATTGATAGAGAGAGAGAACATGGAGCTGGAGGAGAGGGAGAAGGCGGAGAAAAAGAAACGGGGCCCCAAGACTGGCTCAGTAAGTTACATATGCCATATGGATTTGTTAGAATAACAAGACAGGCAGCACCCATGTATTTCTGTTGAAACAATGCTCTTATAGGCAATTCTTTCTTCTGAGACATGGTTATAGCCTGGTTTAGGAATTTGCTAAATAGATCCAACCTTAATGTACATCCATGTATAGGACAGTGTCACCGTTGCAATTGCTGCTTGGCACACCAAAATGAGGAGAAGACCAGAAACTGCTGGGGGCAGCCCTAGAAACTACCTTTATTTGGCCATTTGGTCAGTGCCTCATTGATAGGCAATGCTGTGGACACATTTCTATCTGTACTAAAAAGTATTGAGATTCATTAACAAGCCCTCTCTTTGTGTGGTAGGCATTGACGGTCCTGTGAATTCTCTCTGAACGATTTCCTTGTTTCTCCTAGGCCCAGAAACGAAAATCAGAAGGAACTCCAGATGGTCGTGGACGCAGGAAAAAGCTTAAGTTGTGAGGCTGCTCACAACCCACAGTATCAGAGTCCGAGAGCGACAGCCGGCTCTGGTAGTGTTAGTCCTAGTGTCTGTGTTTGTTTTGCAGGATGTGATAATGTACTATATAAAACCCCCTGGTGGACTGATCTGGTTGTATTAGGTTTTAGGAAGCGCTTTGTTACAAGCCTTTCTTGTTGTCACTGACCTAAACGTTGCAACTGTGCCGATTTAGTTTTGTTTGCTAGTTTTTTTTTTTTACTTGGTAGTTCATTGAAATAAATGTATTTATGCCTGTTGGTTGTACTACATTCCATTGCTTGAAACAATATGTATCCTTTTTATTTTTAAGAAAACATTAGTTTTATCTTCCTATGTGAAGTAGAAAATGTCTTCTTTGAAAATCACAAATAAACTTCCCTTTTTAAAAAATTTCACTCTTATAAGACACAGATTCAAAAAAGGACATTTGTATTTGACAGTTGAAGTGTACAAACATTGAAACTTTATATCGGCACAAAACCCCTAAGCCATAGAAGCCTAACAGTTGGCACGTTTAAAATATGCTTTCACCTTTAGAAGAATAATTATAATTTCGATAATGCAACTTGTTTCTTTAGGGCTTGATCAACAAACTAGAACACAGTTCATGGTTTTTCAAGTTTCGCCAGGGTGTGATATCTTTTTTTCCATAGACCTACAGTGATATGTACACAGATTGTTTTGCATCTGGTTTTAGCCACATTGACCTGAAAAAGGTTCTTAAAAATTCTACAATCTTAAGACAAACAAGATTTAGAAATCCTTTTCACTGACACTATAGTGGTATTGTTGACTCTGGCTGGGCAGGTATAACTACAGGCTGTTTTAAGCACAACAAATATACTAAAATGATCTATCATTCATTAATGTCAGCATTCTAACATCTATCATTCAGTTCACTTTGCACTAATCACCACAAAAAAACAAAACACTGAATTACAGTTAAAAGAAGTTAGGTAAACTATCTGTAAAACTGAGGAAACATTCATGAGATTTTAACATGATTGCCACTGTAAAATAATTGCATTCACTACATTGGGGTTTTCATGCATTTGCAAACAGATAAAAAGGGATATTTTACAACTTGGCAACCGATGAAGCAGATGAATATGTTAAGGGCCTCTATCTTCATCCGCGACTCAGAATTAGCTGCAAAAAAAAAGGCAAAAACCTACAGCAAGAACTACCCATTGAGATCAGTGAGCCTCAGAAAACTGGTGCATTCTCTACATGTGGGCCCTAGGCACTGACATATTGTGCTGTCCACCGCTTGTTCTGGGCTCTGTTCAGTGCTACAAGAGTTGGGCATTGAAGGCACAATGGTGGAGAAGACTATCATAGTCCTTTAAATAGGGGGCAGGTGTTTGAAGTGGAAGGGGGCCCAAATCTAAACCTCAGAGCTGTCTGAACTGCTCCACATACGTGCTTGGCCTTGGCTGTAGTAGCCATTGTAGGCAGAAGAAGAGGAAGTGGTGTAAGGTGGGAACTGGGACTTCTTTTCCCTCTTCTTGCGCCGCAGCAGCACAATGACAATGGTGGCAATGAGGCAGATGAGGAGGATTAGACCTGCAAGGCCAACTAACATAGGTAGGGTGGAGGTGTCAGCTGTCTGTCTGCTGGAACTCTCAAGCACAGGGCGCTCCAGAAGAGTGTCACGGTTAGGGGTCCAGGGTTGGCGCTGGCTAACCACCAGGCGGTCTGTTCGGTCCAAAGCGATGTGCTGAATGTTGGTGCCTCGGTTGTTTTCAACACCGATCTCCTGGGCCAGAGCAGGGCCAGAGAAAGTAGGGGCAGCACGGCGGTGGCGAGTGGCCTGGGGCTGCTTAAAAGAGGATATACTGTGATGGAGGTACTCCACACTGCGCTTGCCAATGTTGCGGTTGGCGTTTTCTCTGGAGCGGACAGTATAGATAGTGTGGATGAACCATTCTCGACCAGCAGCCACCTAGAGAAGAAAGATATTTGAAACAGTTCCTTCTCTGTTTATGCAAAACATCAAATATACAGTAGTTTAATATTTATAAAGACCTGGAAAAGTGGAGATGATGACAATGTGAAGCCATCTGATCCTGGTTGTCTGACTAAAGGCAGAGCTCCAGGTGTGTCTTGAGCCAGTGTGGCCTTAAAAGCAACATCACCAAATACTGAAGCTTGCGTCTCTGGCTGGGCCTTGTCCTGCAGAACAACACACACAAGTAGTTTGTAAATTCATCCATCCATCCATCATCTATACTGCTTATCCTGAAGAGGGTCACGGGGGGCTGGAGACAATCCCAGCTGACATTGGGTTGAGAAGCGGGGTATACCCTGGACAGATCACTAGTAATTTGTAAATGAGTTCAACTTTTTTTTGGCTTTCACAACATCCTAACCTACAGTCCTTCATTGCATCTTACCAGGATCTTGAATCTGTGGAGTAGAGAAAGCGCATCTGCCAGGCAGCCATACTCCTTGTTAGTGGGATTGTATTTGGGAACATAGCCATCTGCACCTGTGCAGAGGAAGACCTTCTCAATGTTGCAGGTGAAGGAGTCACCCAAGTTCTGGACTGGGTCCACCATCACACGACCATAGATGGTGGAGCCTGAAGAAAAGGACAGGTGAAATAGTAAGAGGAACTGCAACATACAGTAGGATTCTCATGGAGTCATGCTGAACTGTGATATCACTTAAGCCCACTAGGTGGCAGCAGTGCCATACCTTCAGAGAAAGCAGCATCAGTCCCCTCCCCAAAGCCCATGGAGCCATCAGACAACCACAGCTCCTTCTTGGACAACAGGATCATTTGAGTGTTGAGGCTAAACTCAGCTGCTACTGGGTCACTCACCTGGAGCACAGCACATGGGTTAGCATATACAGAACAGTGGAGTGTTCAGTGAAATGGTGGATATGAAAAAAAGCATTTATCTGAGCAACTAATTCTGTAGTAAATATTTTATCACTGAGAATCCACCATTAACGTGAGATAAGTTATAGTTTTAATGATCCTTTTGCATTGTCTTGTTGAAATAAACCTGTGTTCTGACTATTGTGAATTTAGAACTAAACTGCCAGGGGATTTCTGTCAGGATATCCAGACTGACCTGCTGAAAGCGTATGTCCATGTCAAAGGTAAGAGGTTCTCTTGGGTGACAGACAGGGGGGATGCTGAACTCTCCATTTGGTGAGGCAATGCAGGGCATCAGCTTCACCGTGTAGGTCCCAGAGTAATCTCGCACCTGGAGGTCACACAAAAACAAAGGAACATGTTAGCTTATCTGTTCCCTTCAGCGGGGACATTTTGATTAGAATGATGACCTACAGCAAAGTCTGAGACAAAGCTCCACTGCTGCATTGGCTGGTTATAGGTAGGCTCAGTTCTGACTAATGTGAGAGTGAACGTCAGCCCAGGGTGATCAGCACAAATCACCATGGACAACACACTGGTTCCTGAAAACAAACAAACAAGTAGCCATCAGTCTTTAAAGGTGCATACTGTCCAAACTAAAACTAGCTTTTTATTTACTGAGTGACCTTTTATATTTTTTGAGCCACTCCCTTCCTAACTGTAAACACTGCAGGGTTGTTTTAACATTTGCTAAAAGGCACTCTGGCACTGTCACACAGTAGATAATCCAGTAGGACGCTGCTTGTATTGAGTGACCCCACAGGATAGATTTAGGGTGTGCACGTGGCTGCCACTCTCTTACCTGGGTGAGACATAACAAACTGTCCCCTGAAACGGGCCTCAGTCTTGAAATTGACCACCAGGCGTCCCTCCTCATTTATTCGCATACTGGTGGGGTACATGGCTCCTGCAACAACATTAAAACGAATGTTATTTTACATATAAACATACATTTTAATTTTGTAGTCTGAGAATGTACCTTGTAGTTCAGCTTCAGGAGGGCTGCCGATGCCATCCTGCCACAGAATAGCTGTATCATACACAAAGGTGAGTTTGAGCTCTGACTGCAGGTCAAAGTGCTGCCAGCCTCCCACAGCCACAGGAGAGTGAAAGATGTAGGACACAAACAGAGGAACACGCAGCGTGACATAGGACTGGACCAGGTTCAGCACCTGCATATGAGAGAAAACAGACACTGTAGCAGGTAGCATAGAAAGTTTAAAAGCCTGGCCACATCAAAATGTGGCTTCATCTGTGTGTCTGTGTGAAACAGGTGGTGCTACAAGCTTGGTCACATAGATTACATGCAAGACTAATGGGTGAACCTCTGTGAATAGGAGCTAACCAGTAACAAGCTAGCATACCAAGAACACATTTGGTGATTCCCAACCTCCTTATTTTATTGATTCTCGCTCAACCCGGACGTCATTCTGGTCCATCATGATGAAGAACATCCCAAAGCTCTTATTTCTGCTCTGATAAGCAATGAGGAGCTATAGCCAAGAATATACAAATGCATCCTTTGCTGAAATTTGTTATGGATTGATATGCCTCTTCATCAGAAATCATGTAGTTATTATAGTTTAACATGAAGGATCAAAGGAAAGTACATGTCATATGAGTTAAAATGTGTCCTCAGTTCCTCTTTTCTCACAGTTTGCCACTTACTGTGGCAGTTTAATTAAAACGAATAAGTTTTCAGTTGTAAGCTCTGATGTGTTCAGTCAAGAGTGTTTGAGACTCTGCAGCTGAAATGAAACTGTTTTCCTACCTGTCCATCAGTGGCTATGGAGCCTCCACAGTCATTCAACAGCTCTGACATGTCATAATAGCTGGTGAACTCCCAGAGGCAGGCCTCTAAGTTGAGGTTCCTGTAGAATCGCAGGGAGTTGGCTGAACGCATAACAGCACTGTATTGGTAGGGTGAAGTCTCGCCTATGATTTCAGGATTCTTTGTTGCATCTGTGATGAATCCATAGCCTGTTTGGATCTCATTGAAGTCCAGCAGGTTGGAGCAGCGGTGATTGCCCACACGTGTGCCATCAGGGCTCAGGGTAAGCTCAAAATTTGACAGAGGTCTTGTGGAGACCACTGGCAACATGCCTGTTGAGAGGAGAAAGCTTGTTCTTGTCACACAAGATAAGGACTGGATCCTAGTTGAGATCAATAAACAATAATAACCATATACCAAAATTTGCAACAAGAGTTCCTGCTCACCATCCATGTGAGGCATGTTGACCGTAAGTTTGATGAGGTTGGGGAAGTCTGGGTCATCTGGGCCTGTGTAGCGGATCTTAGCAGAGAAAGGTTCAGCTCCAACAGTGCCTGGGATACGAGGCTGACACATACCTGCAAACAGTTTAAGTCGGTTAAACCAACTGACTCCACACCCAGCATAAATCTGCACTCATACCCCCAGTCTCTTCTGCCTTCCACTCACCCTCCTCCTTGCTGATCACAGCGATGGGACTGGAGAGCTCCAAGCCTGCATCTCCATTGGCATTGAAGGCTCTTGCTGCACACTGAACCCTGGAGCCAGCCTGGAAGTAGATTGAATCCAAGGTGATGGATTTGGTGTTAGTGAAGAAAGTGTTAGTGTCCACCTCCCTCATGGGGCTGGTAACTCCATCTGAGCCGGTAGGGGCGCTGACCAGCCAGCGGTACTGGGTGAGGGTGTCATTGATGTTCTCAGCAGAGCAGATGGAACCCGTTTTATCAAAGTCGTGGTACTTAGGGTTGCAGGCCTGCCAGAGAGAGCACAACAGATAGTGATTTATTATATACCCTTTCCAGCTTAATAATAATAATGATTCCTAAATGATAATCAGCACCGATAGAGAAACAACAATTGATTCGGTTGGTAAAGCTTTATGGAAAAAGTAGCATCATACTTACTGTCACACACACAACAGGATATCCATTAGGTGGGTAGGGTCTGTCCTTGGCTTTAGCTGTGTCATCATACATGAGCAGGGACACAACCTGGGGCACGGCAGGGAAGGTGACATCTGCTACACTGTCCATCTCTTCAATGTACACGATGGCCTTGTTCATCTAGCAAGAAGAGGAAAGGCATCGCTAGCAGGTTGTCAGGTTAGCTGTTGTGTTTCCCCGATGTCTTTTTTTTTAATATGTTTTTTTTTTTCAGGCATTTTAGCCTTTATTATTATTTTTATGGGGCTAAGTGGGTCATGAAGAAGCAGACCGGAGACAGAGGAGAGGGCCTGCAACATGGGTAAGCATTTTAAATGGCCATAACTCAGTGGTCATGAGCTGGCTAAATCTTATAAGTTTTATCACTCAGAACTGCATTTAGGTATTCCCTAAATCATGAGGATGTTTGACGAGATGTTTTCTGTCATTACAAATGACTGGTGAGGATTATGACGCTTTAGCAGACTGATGTGCTCTCAGAGCGCTCAATGAGTCATTTTTCATCAACAGTAAAACCAGCAAACACAAAAGTATTTAGTCAAATGTAACCTATTTCTGTCACGTGAGCAATACATGCCTGTGGAGTGTGTGGATAGAGTGTCACAGTTCTGTTTATAGGTCCGTCTACTGTTAGACTCTCCTGGGGCATTCCCCCTCAGCATCTCATTCCAGAGGAAAAAGCTTTTTTTAAGACTGCGGTTCAGGCATGCTGACACCGACGCCAGCTGCTGCCCAGCTATTTTAACACAGGCAGGCATGACAGGGCGCATGCTCACGTTTGTAGATACAGTATGTAGTACTGTACATGTGTAGATACAGGACTTGCAATTTGATTGTGTGTGTCTGCTCATTTTGTCCCACCTGTATTTCAGCCACCATGTTGTCATCAGGCTTCATGTGTAGAGTGAAGGCCTCTCTCATCTCTCTCTGGCCATCATACAGGATCTCAACCTCCACAAAGTGCTCCGTCTCACCCTCCTTGAACTCAACGTCTTATCAACCCAGACAATGAAGTGAAAAATGATCAAAAACTCTCCAACATAAAATTATATCAGTTTTGGGAGCTACTGTGTCACTGTGTAGCCACTAAGCCAGGTTCTTACCCTCTGACAGTGGGTTGTAGTCATCTCCAGAGGTTGCAGAGCCATCCTTGGTGTGCACTCTCACCACTGAGACCTTTGAGGTGTCTCCAACACGCAGGATAGGAATCTTCACTATTGCCACATTTCCTTTGACCTGGGGTTCACGCACACTGTACTTGATTTCAGAGAAACGGATGATGGGCTCTAGAAAAGGAAACAAAGTTGACACTGAGCAAAACCTACAAACACATATTGGGAAATAAGGAATATGAAAATAGGTTGACATTTGCTCTCGTTGTGAGAAGCAATAAAATACTTCAACCATCTCCAGTTTCTATGTTGTGTGAGCCAAAATAATTTGCACTAATGCTCATCAATATCCTGCCTGACATTTTTAGCATACTTGGTATAAATGCACACTTCCTCTACTAGCTCATCTGAAGCAGTTAAAGAAAAAATACTTCCTTCACTCTAGAGCCCCTCAGCAGTTGTTATTGAGAAGTGAGAGCAACACGCTACTGCGCTACTGCTATTATTTGACATATTTTGCACACGTGTTTAAATATATTTTAGCAGTTGTTTTATGCCAGAAAAGCACATACTGTCTTTCTCATCTGTGACAGTGATCAGTACTTCCTTCTGCTCCCCAACAGAAGCGCCATATGGAGATGCGCTCTTTGGAGTTCCCAGCACCAGGCGGAACTCCTCGTCCTCTTCATGGATGGAGTCGTCCATCAGGCTAACCACACAGGGCTTCTCAATATCACCTGGGGAAGAATTAAATGAACACACTCAGATAAGCACTGCAGGATAAAACTGAACAGAGAAATTAAGAGGGAGACAGACGTGTCACCTGGTAGGAAAGTGATGACTGATGCATCAGTGTTGGGTCTTTCACTGTAATCCATCATGACCTGAGCAGAGCCCTGCCGAGTGTAACATCGCACTGTAGACTTGAGGCTGATGTCTCCACTACGGTACACTATAGCTCTGACCTCCCCATCAGACTCATCCACGTTGTAGCTGCCTTCTTTAAACTGAACCTTCGGCACTGTAAAAACCACAATCAACCTGTTAAGGGAGTCTTACTGCATTTTAGTGCAGCTAGTGATGGCAGTTTTCCATTAATGTTTTTCACTCACCTCCCTATTTAGCATTTATAAGTACCAGTACTTAAACAATTACATATGTGACACTAGAATGTTACTACAATCAGATATAAAGACATTTCAAAGTGTTTAATAATGTATTTCTTAACATTTGTAACAGCTGATAACACAGTATCGGTATATGAAACCATATATAATGATACATCTCTGTGTATGATCACTTCATAAATGCAAATTATAATATGCAAATACATTCCTTACAATGTTTTTATGTATACAATTATGTAATGTACACATATGACACTCACAGTCGGTGACAGTATCATTGATGGTAATGGTGGTCTTGCTTGGTTCTCCTAACACAGCATTCATAGGCATCCGTAATACGAGGTCAAAGGTCTCAGGCCCCTCCAGCTCAGGCTGACCGAGGTCATCCAAGATTGTTACTCTAAATGTCTGCATGGTCACTCCAGGAGCAAAGTCTAGGTTGCGACTGATGCCGACATAGTCTAGTCCAGCTGTCAGGTGGAGAAGAAACAACAAGGAGACACTGTAATACAATATTGTGACTGAATGCTGTTGAGTCTGTGAACCTGCTGATTCTACCTTCTGCAGAGACAGGATCACTCTTCCTGGAGCGGACAGTGACAGTAGCTGTCTTGGACAGGTCAGTCCCTGTCCTCCAGACCTTCACCTCAACGTAGCCTGAACTCTCTTCCACAACATACTCAGTTTCCCCGAAATACAGCGAGGGCTCTGTAGGATTAGTGTAAAATAGAAATGTACAATTGGTAATGATTAGACATGGAACAGATTCAACCCTGCTTCTTATCAGTGCTTTACAAAGAGAAAAATCAAGCCAGAGTACCTGCCAATACATCACCTTTACCATCATGTCAGACTGTATTTTGCTGTCATTGACTTTGCTGTTTGTCAGAAGGACCACATGCCTTTGAACTGACTCTGGACATTTGGATGTTTGGGATTCATTGCGGATGATATTTTACAGTTCAGGGACAGGGCATGTTTGCTTCATGTTTGACTCGGCACAGGAAGAGAGCTGACATCCTTCTTATCCTGTCCTCCTTCCACCTTCCTCCCCCACTTACCTAAATCCAGACAGTTCTGTCTGAACTTAATGCCAAAGGGTTGAGAATACACCTGAAGAATAGGCCACAGGCTTATGTGTGCACAAAGAATGATGCACGAGTGAAGGGCTGCTCTGATGATAGAGCAGTTGATAAGCAGTGTGGAGAGGGGGTGGCAGAAACAAAGGAGCAACGGTCCTCTGCCACGGCAAAGGCCAAGAATTCAGACCCCTTGAACACACTGTCATTTCATCTGTCCTCACTTCTGTATAAAGCTTGTTTTCATCACACTACGTCCAGACTTTGCTCTTAGAGATCAGCTGATAAAAAAGCAGATTCAGTCTAAAGCTATACTGGACTATAAACTACGGCAAAGAAGGGAGAAAGGGCAGAGAGAGAAATGTGCTGGACACAGTGAAGACATAGGCCAAAACACATCAGTTTTTACATTAAAGTTGCTCAGTTATTTGTGCTTGAGCAGAATTGGAAGATCTTGGACTTATTTAGAAGTTGACTGATGGTGAGTGATGCTGAAGGAAGGACTTCTGGCACACTCTCAGTGCCTTTCAGCCTCCGAGCCAGCTATTTAGTACCATGATGAGAAGGGGAAATGAGTGCCAACATGGCAACCTTAAAGATCAGTGAGAGGAAGAGTCAGACAAATACATTTACAGGCTTGATGCTGGCAAGAGTCCAAACCACAAGTTTAGTCAGACAGCCAGATGGTTTTACACACACACACACACACACACACACACACACACACACACACACAGATTTATGATGCCATGGGATGGGATGTTACTTCAGGACCCACCAAGTTGAACCACAATAAATGTGTAGACTGACAAGTATTCTCCTGTCGCATCACATGTCTGGGAATGTGATCTGATGGTTTATAAATCAAGATAAATTGTATATTTGTTTCAAATTGCATGGGAGGGATGCCTGATCTGTGAGAAGGTCTGTCACTGCAACAAGAAAGTGCAGCAAATTTGCATCGGTGTAAGGTGGAGAGGAGAAATATGAGGAAGTGTGTGTGGTGGGACAGATTGCTAAAGAAAATTTGAGGGCTAAAATCTTTCAGTTTTGGTCTGTTATCAAACCAAGCCAATAAAGAATTCTTGATTTAAAAAAACCCCACAATGGTAGCTTTAAAAAGAAAACAACCCTCTCAAGTTGAAAATGGATCTTTAGCACTAAAAGGGCAACACTGCACTGAACACAATGGAACTGAGGGACAGAGTAAAAACATGCCAGTCATTTAGCTTGCACAATAGTCCCTCGCTCTCCACCACCTGCCTTTAAGTCCATGCAGACAAAGGGATGCCCTCTGTTCTCTGAGCTCCTCTGAATGCCAATGAGGATGGGGGGTCACTTGAGAATCACAGCGACGTTTTAGTCTTTTTATCTGTAACATCCACTGAGGCTGCCATTTTCCAACTCAGCACCTGTCTGTTGTTTTCTTACTTCTAACACTAAGACAGTCAGAGTGAGGTGAATGACTGACTGTAAACACAGATGTTAGACTCAGGTATGGAAAAAGTAAAAGATCTGAAAGTACTGTAAGGCCATTAAGGCAAGTACGGTCTCCAGGAATTTTGTTTGGGCTACTGGTTATGGTGCTGTGCACTTTTGGTGAATTCATAGTGTGAAAATACCAAACCAGTGAAACAGAGCATCATAGGGGCAGTATAACAATACACCATTATACATTCCTTTCTTTTCATAAATAACTTAAGAATCCAAGTCAAAGGCCAAAGACAGAAGAAGCTTTAAGAAAACTGGGAGCTCCTTTTTTTGCAAAAAGTAAAACTACTGAAAACTACTGTATTTTTCTACAAAAACAGAGTAGAAGACCGACTGAAATGTTATATGTGCAGAAAAGAAGATATTGTTTTGAGAAACATGCTCAGTGTCAGGCAACATATTGCTCCCTCTGTGCTAAATACGCCTTGTCAGCTTGCATCTTTATATCTTACTACACCTAAACTACCACCTCATCTGTACAGTATGTGCAGGATTATATTTTGGTAATTGGTAGTTTAAAGAGACTCAATGGGTTTTAGTGAAAAGAAGACATCTTTGAAACTAACAATAAGCTTAAATTTGTGTCTGTGATCATTTAATGAGGCGCTTTGAGCAATCTATCCATCTGTCTATTAATTTTTTAATATTTTCTGTTCTCTCTTCTGAAATGACCCCGCCATCAGCTCATTTCACACTATCTAGAATTAATAAATACTCAGTTCCACTCACCATCGTCATTGTCTGCCAAAATGGTGACCTTGGCAGTTGGGAAGTTGGCGCCCACCTGGCCGCCCATGGGCATACTCAGGCTGACATTGAAGCTCTCATCTTCCTCATACAGAGAGTCATCGATGATAATGATGCGGCAGAGTTTCTCACGCTCATCCTTATCAAAACGCAGGACGCTGGTATGATCCTCAGGTCGGGTGATGTAATCAGAGTAGGACAGGACGGTGCTGGGTATAGTGCCAGTGGCCGTGGCTGAGGAGTAATGGGAATAGGGAGAGGACACTGGGTGAAACATAACTGTTCCTTGAAACAGTACTGCGTTATTAAAACAGCAGAGAAAATGAATGTACACAAAACCATTGTTTACACTACTGTACAATAAAGTACAATTAAGCAGTTGTAAACACATAAAGCTGACAGTTATAATATATTACAACAAAAGGACACAGGGATGTTTACTACCTTCACTACTGTACATCTACAATAATACTGATTGAATCTTTCCTATTTAATCTTGAGATTTCTGATAAGTGTGTGGCACCTATTTCATCCTACTGCCCATAGGCTATTTATTCTCTCTGAAGGAGACTAGTAATGCCATCCTGGTGTATCTCACCCTGCTGAGTAAAACAAACAACCATGAGCTCCTGGCTTGCATCTCCTGAGCGCCGCACTGGCACCAACAGCTCTCCAATATCCTCCTCAATCTTGAACTCTGCTTGAGGTATGAACACAGTCGATTCTGTTTTGAAAGATAAACAAAAAGATGAGTGATCAGATACTGTAAAACATATGAAGAAAAGCCACATTTATGGTGGTAAACCTTTGTTCAAATAGATTCCTACCATCTCCAGGGTCCACAATCTCCACTGTTGCTGTGTCTGGAAACTCCAGCACCGCCATGACTGGGTCTGACAGCTGTATCTCAAAGGTCTCTGAAGTCTCAAACTCCTGGTCCGTGAAGATCTTCACTTTCCAGGTAGCTGTGGTCTGGCCGGGGTTGAACTGGACCTGTTTCTGGGCTTTGCCACGGAAGTCCTTATCCTTCTCAGCTGTGCCATCCTTAGTGGCAATACCTGAGAGAGAGGGATGTATGTGTTCATAGCAGCTTAGATATCTGAAAGCATAGCTTGTGCTTCTGCCATTATTTGGTATTAAAGTCTGAATACTCAACAAAGGATATTATGATTTAAACACTGTAGGTAAGATGCACCAATACTGTAATAGCACTAGGCTCTATACAATGTCTGAAACCACAAAATAAATCATACGTGTATTTTTCCAACAGATTTCATGGGTTTATTCTAGCCTTAGGTCTGTAATGTTGACATGTACTGCCTTATTTGTTCCTTCACATCTTCAAAGACACTTGTATAGACCTATATGGTAAAATGAGCTGGTATAAATCTACAGCATGAAAGTGTCAGAAGCAGCCAAACAGACCAGCATGCTGGCATTTCCTTGTGACCTTTTCCTAGAAAAGATCATATATACTCTAAATCAGACCTCTTTCAGAGACAAGAAAGGAAATAGGGCACCACCCAAACAATAAAACAAAAGATCTGCACCCTCTAGGACAAGACCAGGTTGTTGACTTTTATGCTGTCTTCAATTCAGATACAGGGGCAAACTGAGGACAGCCATAAAAGAATCTGGACAGATTTTAAATAAAGAGGTTGTTGATGCTTTATAGCAGGGCTGGCCTTTGAAATGGCACATAAATAACAGTCGAAGGTAGCAGTTTAAATGGCAATAATTCTTTGTTAAATTGTCATTTGAATAAGGGTATATTGTCTAGCACCAACATCCTCCATATATATTAATTTGAGACAAATGCTGCAAATAAAAAATTTGAAAAAAACAAAAACTGAGCTTCTGTCAAAAATTCAGACCCCCTAAAAAATCTATAAATATAAAAATGGATCACTGAATATAAACCATCAATACTCATAATATGCAACTGTAGTAGTCAGTGATTAACTATAATGTTAATTAATGAAGATTTTAAAAAATGCAACTCTAAAGGTCACATATCAGGGCAAATACTTAACAAATGACTGTCAACACTTACTGATGAAGGAGGTTTCTCCCAGGTAGCCTCTGCGTTTCAGAGTTACTTCTAGAAAGTTGGCGTCCTCGTCCACTAAGTAGTATTCCCTCTCCAGAGAGATCCAGGCCCAGTTGAGCCGGAAAGGCTGAGGTTTTAGCTTGTTTCCACCTAAGGAGGGAAAAAAAAGCTTTTGAAAGACATCCTCAGCTGCACAGTACAATAGGGAAACAATCTATTTTGTTCATATTAGGAGCCTGTGGGGCCTATAAACTGCAAACTGCCTCGAGGCCAAAGATAAACTATTAATTAGTTTTAACTTTGGAGAGGAAACATGATAATTGAATACCCGGCCTTCCCTAAACCTGGGCTTCAAGAAGATTTGCTGTACTTCTCATTTTCTCAGATTGTAACCCACTTCTATCTGATGCTCTTTCATAATCTTAACTCTCAATAGGGCACATACAACACTGATATTGTGTACATCATCTGCTTATAGAAAGATTATGTCATAGATTCCTTTTTGGATTGCTGTGAACATGCCTCTTCCCGTCATGTCCACGCTGGGCTGCATCTGGTTTTGCCAAATAAACACTACTCTCTTTTGTTCAGCTAATATCCCCTTATCACACCATAGAATGTTCTGTGACTAAATAGCTGTTTATTCAGCCAATAAAGTTCAGAGTCACCGGCCACTGATCCGCAACTATAGGCCCAGTCCTGCCATTAGTCCATACTGTCACATGACTCAGGTAATCCCTCAAACTGTCAGTTCAGTTCAGTTTTGGTCACTAACTTCAAACCGACATCTTCAAAGACTGTAAAAGATTATGCGTTCTGCTGCTTAATGTGAATGGTGGCAACAGTGGTGAAAAATCCTGAGGTCTTCTACCTCAGCGAGACAAGCCAGGAGAGCTCAAGGGTTAGGAAGTGCTAGGATTGTGGATCTTTAGTCTTACATGGCTGGTCACAATGACAGTGACCCTGTTAAGCAACTTCAGCTAAAGGAACTCAGAGAATACAGAAATTGCATCAGGTCAGAAGTTTTCTGCAGTTTGGTATTACAGGCATGGTGTTCTGGCTTTTAAACAAATAGTTTGCTACTTGGTTCATATATGCCGAAGAAATTATGTTAAAGGAGCATACATTTAAAAAAGTAAGCAGTGTGAATAGACCAGTGTTAGGGGGCTTCTGCCTGTCCACACAGTAAACCAGCACTGAGCTCATTTTTGCTTTCCTGAGGAAGAAAAAGGCTGAAGTCTTTAAGCTGTGTGACTGGGGAGAATGCACACTGGGGGGGTTGAGTCTGGGCAGTCAGGTTGGGAAGGGGGCCACTTCCTCAAACCCAAATGTCAACACTGAAGCTAAACCAGTCCGAGTCACATCAGGGACAAACCACGCTCACCAAAAGGCAAACACATGTTCTGATGGCATTCACAAATAGATTTTCTGGAACAGTGACAATTTTGGGTCATGTCTCTGCTGGAATTAATGACCTGGAAAATGTGATGATGATACATTAAACATGAAGGCCCTTTTACACTTCTCCAAGAAAACAGACTAAGTTCAAATAATCAGAGTACTTCTTATTCTGTGTACTATCTACTACACACAGATGGACACAAGAATGCAAGTGCTCCCCTCGTAAAGTCTCTGATGGGTGAGAACAGGAGACATCGAGCAGCAGAGCTCAGTGGGCACAGCCACCCTCAACCATGCTCAGGTTTCCAACAGTCATGGCTAAAAATACAGGAAACTTGTACAGTATCATGTCTGTCTTGTCCCCCCAACCCCATATTCTTCAAGCTTTGATACAGTACATACATATATAAAATGATTTTAGAAAGACGCCTGCATAATAGTTTTCTGACTGGGCTCAAGATCATCAAGGCAAAGATCGCTTTCTGTCTCTGTCGATCCTTTCGTCTGTCTCTGTCCCATGAAACCTTCCTTCCCGCTAGATTCCCAAATTACGTGGAGCAGAGTGACAGCTGTACTCCACAAACCCTCCTCCCATTCCATGTTCCCCTTCCTCCCTTTGTTGGCTTTGTTCACTCAAGGGATGGTCAACTGAGAGAGACAGCAGGCCTCAGTCTGGGTGGGCCAGATCGACCACTGTGGCATGCCTCCCTGCTTGCCCTTACATTGTTTGTAACAGAGTAGGAGAGGGGAATCTCCCTTTCTCTGACTTCTTTTGTACATGCTGTCAGACTCTGAGGCTGGCATTGGCATGAGTCTCAATAAATCTTCCCAGGATCTAATGCTTTAGTCTGAATGGTTTAACTTTGCTCAGAACAGAACAAGAAAAGTTTCAAGTCTAAGATACAAATAGCTGCAAACATAGAAGTCCAAATAGCTGCTCTGACATGAATATATATGTGAATGATAGCCTAATTTATTACAATTTTTTGACACACATACTATATTAGACTGATCATCAGATCTAACACATAGCCGCCTGGGTAAGCTCATATTTCCACTAGCGATTCAAAGTGACGATCATCATAATTTCTGATGAAATGAAAAGTTTTATAGGCTGCATGTATTTCTAGATGTCCCTGTCAGCAGCTCTTTAATAAATTAGCTTCAGTGTAATTGATGTTAACTACTCACAGGAGCAGGGAAGGAATATTAAAGACGTATGATAGAATTTTTCTGTTTTAGGAACAGAGGGAGCCTAACTGGATCCTCTCTAAACCTTCATTACCAGCTGCCTTATTTATTTGAGTGTCCTAAGTCACATAGTGACTTTCTACAAACTGGCAGATGTAGGTTATTTGGTACAAAACTAAATATCATCAGGATCAAAAACACAAAGCTGTAAAATATTTTTGATGTACAGTCGGTACACCATGGGAGAATGAATCAGCATAAGAGTACTCCTCAAAAATGTAAAGTATTTAGTATCTTGTATCAGCAAAGTAATATTAAAACATATACCGGACCTTACAGCCTGAGTTTCCTTGCACCAGTGTCTTTTGACAGTACATTCTTCATCAGCTCATATTTACACAGCTATGCTGCCTGCACCATACATAGATGCACTGGGTGATTATGAGGCCTTAACGTTCACCAGCATGATGCAAGGAAGAGCAACCTTCTAAGAATATCCCCATCAAGTGACAAGCACTGCCATTATTGCATTTCCTCATTAATCATCTGGCTCTTATAAACACTGGGGGGATAGGGTGGGGAGGTGGGGGTTCCTTTCAGCTATGCTCGGTATCTAAACATCAGAGTAGTTTCAGAGCATGTTCTGTTAAATCAGCGCACAGATGCTGCAGCTAAAAAGTTATAAAGAAAATCAAAATCAAATTAAAATCTATTAGAATTTATAACCACATTAGCCCCATGAGAGTGTACTTAGGCACCATGCTGCTTTTAGCTACATGGAGGCATGCTAACATGCTCACAATGCAATGCTAATTTGCTGATAATTAATGGATATAATGTTTGTCATGTTCACTATCATAGTTTATCCTGTCAGCATGATTAGGTCTGTTAAAGTAGCACTAAACACAAAGTACAACTGAGGCTGGTAGTTTTATACGTATTTGGTCACACACTAGAGAATTGGACATTAGCATTTGATGATGGTGGGACAACACAGAAAGTTAAGAGGTGATTAAAATTACTACAATTCATTCTGGCAGGGCATGAACCAGAGTCATTTGTGAGTTCAAGTTTGCAAGCCCATACCCACAATAACCTATACTGGTCTTGTGTTGAAGTCTGTTCCCCGCTTCAGTTTCCCTCCCGTTAGAATAGCGACCCCCTCCATGGGTGCAGTTATGTTAGGGCTTAGTTTAGGCTATCGTTAGGTGTAGGGGGTTGGGGGTCAGGTTAAACAACTCAGAAGAAAACTGGATGGAATTAGGAATAAGGTAAGGTAAGATGAAACACATCAACATGGGAACAACACCAGAACCAACCCGTTATCCACAATTATCTCTACATAAAATCCAGAGCTCCGACTTCACTCAAACCGGTAACATTAAATTAAAAAGTGGCTACAGATCCTCACTTTAAAACTAATTCAGATTGTATTTATTATTTATGCACAGCTTGCATAATGGCCGGTCTAAGAATACCTGAAGCTAATTTATGACAATACATGCAAAAGATATTGATGTATTTCACTGAAACCCACACGACATCCTCATGGTGGTGCCAGAGGAAAAGTCAAAGTCAGTGAAGTAAGGAGGATACGTCCTAAGGGCACCATGGGGGTCTGAATTAAATCAAATGGCAGTCCATTCAAAAGCTGTCAGGATATTTCAGTCCAGCAGAACAATACTATCATTGCAAGAGCCACACCACTAGTGTTGCTAAAAAGAAAAGGATAAGGAAGAAAGCTAGGCATGGCAACAGTGTTGCCATATGAGAGCAGACAGGAATAACCACTGTAGCCATACATCATAACTCGTCACTCCAGCAGCACTCCTACCACCATAAATCACAGCTGAAGAAAAAGGCCAAAAAGAGAAAGAAAGACGAAGAACAAGGTGATATCATGGCTCACTGAACGCGGTAGAGGAAACATCTAATAGAACAGGTAAAAAAGCAGCGATAAGCTGAAGGGGTCTGGGGGGGATGGAGGGATAGTGAGAACAGAGTGATGGACTGAAAGGTCTCAGCTTCTTCTAGTCACAGGGGGCCTTGACTGTGGCACCATTAGCCAGTAAATCTTCTGGTGACTGTTGACACTGGTGACATGTAAGATCCTAAAACACAGTTAGAAAGTAGGAGTGTAACATGGCCACGTCAGTCAGCACACTGTCCTACTGTACAGCAGGACACACTTACTGTTCAAAATAAAAACAGACCATTGGGTTAACTATAGTACACACAATCATATACACATTTTTTGCTAATGCTTCCTTTCTTTGAATAATTGCATTTCTTGGAAAGTGCCTCTCCAGGGCAGGAATCTCTGCGGTGGAAGTCCGCAGGTTATCAGGCTATCTGAGACTGGGTTAGATTTCAGTCCAGGTAGGAGCGGGGTGATGGAGGGCTTTGAAAGGGGATCCCCCTGGAGCCTTCCTTCTCACATACACACCTGTCTGCTCAGGATACTGCTTCACTTCCAGGCCCTGCTCTGTCTGTGGCCATGGAGTCTGGAGTCTCCTAGGAAATGCATTCCTCTCCCAGCTCTGAATGATCACATAACACTCAACTCACTGGGGTCTATGATCCCCCTCTTCAGAGCTGGAAGACTATATTGTTGCAATTAGTAAAAGCACAGGGACAGAGTCAACTTATCTGAATACAGAAGCTCTGAGCTCATTCTTCATCTTATCTCATTTCTAAGACAATCTTTCACCTCAGATTGGCAAGAATAGACAGTGTTTGTGAAGACAATTACACCACAAAGTCTACAAATACATAATGTAACAGTCCAAAGACTTACAAATGACCAGAAACCTACAGATGCAGCACATCAGACAGTGAGTCTTCTCTTAGCCTGTGGCTCACTGGACCCATGCCTGATGGACAAAGATATACGCAAGTTGTGTACCCACTTGTAAAAACAAGTATTTATGGCCTCAGTATCCCACTTGAGTGGCTGTAGGCCGTTTCTGACCTGGTCACTTCCGTGCATGTTATATCTTTTCCTAGAGAACTTCCCAGCAGGCAAATACACACAAAACCAAAAGTGTAAATTGTCAGGATGAAAGAAACCCAGTTCTCTTGCTCAGTCCATTAATCAATGTACCTTCACCTCTCTCTGCAGCTCTCACACCATATCTTTGAGATAAGGGCCTTTGTGGGTAATCAGGAGATGCACATACCAGATAACATGTACTGTAAATGTAAATTAAGGACTTCTAAAACTGTGAATCCAAAGTTTACAGCACACAATGGGAGCACCCACTAAGTTAATTAATTTCTTCATCTGAATATCACCCTAAAAATCTGTAAGCGGTTACATTACTCCTTGTGTTTTTTCTGTATGCTTTTTTGTACTGTAGCTGATAATTCTGTTTTTGGTATTTCAACTGTGAGTGACTTATGCATCTTTAAATAACTTCTGCAAAGAACTGAGGAGTTTAAAAGACTACTTGATGTGTCCTGACTTGACAGAGCTAGTGACCTCAGTGTCTGGAATTTAATCACTGACCAGCAGGTCCACATTGAGACAACCAGCAGGAAACTAAATGTCAATGCCCGACCTTTTATTAAGACACACTTTTTGTTATAAAATTATGACAGCCATAGTCCAGCCATGGTGTCACAACTTCACAAATGACATACACTGTATTTTTGTGTGTGTGTGTCTGTTTTTTTTTTGACCCAGCTGTGAAGTAGCACCAGTGCAGTGCATGTACTGGCAGGTACCTTTTAAAAGCCGCTAAGACCCTTAATCATCTAAGCAGCTGCTTAGATGCTTCTCAACACAAGATCACACTCAAGCTGTGTTTAACACACAAACAGACTTAGTTAAATTGGTTTAGAAATGCAATTTCCATGGAGATACAATGATTAAAATCAATTCAAGGTAAAAAAAAAAGAAAAGAAAATAATAATTTTTTACAAAGTCGATTATAAGGAAGGACAGTCTGAGTGTGTTTCCAAAAAGATCTTAAGCAACAGAAAAACTACTAAAGAAAACTGATTCATTCCAAAATTATGAAGTGGAATCACTGTTTGTGGAGTTGGAGAAAAGGTTTCTATTTAACTTTTAATTAATAATATGTTTTTCAATTACATTCAGTGAATTCACATGTTAAAACTAAGTATGCTAATGGAGGCCAGTTAACTGGATTATCTTGGGTGCAATCAGAGTTTTACTTCCCACAGAAACAGGTCACCTACGTAGATTTACAAGTAGCTAGGGTGATCATCAGCATGCTCCCCACCTGCATGTCCCTACACATCCAGGTTGAAGCCATCTCCCCCAGTAGTCGCCTCTGCAGAACTTAATAGTGAATCACCAGTTGGCACATCAAACTTTTATTTGTTATTTGACCTTTTTCCGAATAAGCCTGTCTATTATGTTTTTTTTAACATAGGTGCACATGCAGCAATGAGTGTGCAGGTGAAAGTATGTTAACCAGCCTATCTGTTAAGTGGAATAATTTATGTGTATAATAGTAATGTTTGTGCTTAAAGCAGCCCTGTGCAGAAATATGGCTTTATTTTATGCCCCAGTTTGCACCATTGCACCTGGTTCAGTGGACTTGGCTGGAAGCTTAAACAAAGTTAGAAAGCAAAAAGCAAAAGGACTGTTCAGCTAATTAAAGCCCTTGTGCTTCCTTCTTGTGGTTGGACATCCACCTAAAGACAGGATAGTTGCTTCAGGGAGATTAATATGTCTCAAATATAAGGTAAAGAAATATTAATAACAATACTGGTGCACTGTTTAGATTATAGAATAATAATAATGGCTGTGCTGATTTCAACCAATATCAGAACTACTGACCCTAAAAAATAAATGATTGCCTGTTTTACATACAGTATG